TCAGGATTTGTTGGGCAAATTAGCTGGTGGGCCTAGGCGGGCCTATTAACCGACTTCTTAATAAATTTATAAATGTACAAGGTTCATAACAATGAGATTTCTATTGTATTACGTTACAAAATTCAACTTGTTCTTTAGTAAGTTTATGTTTTATGATTCAAATTATTTCATTTTTTCTAAAAATTCTTCTAATCTTCTCAAGTGATGGCAGAAGAGAAGATATTTTTTCCACTCCAACAGGAATAAAAAACGAAAATTATGGTTTCAACTATATATATATATATATATAATATAATTAAATCACTACTTATTTATAATTGTGATTGTATGTTATAATCATTTAATCATTCAAGTTAATAGATATCTTCAAATATATAATTGATTAATAAATAATTTTCTGTATAATACAAACGGGTAGAGTAAATCTTCGCTTATAATTGAAGTAAAATTTTTGTATAAGCAATGTAATAATAATATAATAATAACACAAATAATTTAATTAAATATTTTCCATCCACCCATTGATTATTAATATTTTCATCAATTACATACATAAATTCACGGTAGCATCGTGGTTTGAATCATATTTAATTAGTAGGACGCATCAAGTGTTTTTTAACAATGTTTTGTCAGATGTCGAAGTTTTCCTGTCAGGAGATCCTCACGGATCGGTTCTAGGACCACTTCTGTTTTTACTCTAAACAACCGATGCCCATCCAATCATTGAGAAATATAACTTCAAATATCACGCGTTTGTTGATGATTTGCGGATAATTTAACCTCTGAGTAATATTAAAGGGCACTATATACATTCTCAATAATAATAATAATAACAACAAATTTTAAATTTCGTAAACCAATCATGGTTTAGCAGCACCAACCAGATACAATTTTCAGTTGTTGGGACATTTTATTTTAATAAAATTAAAAACATAAACCCAACCTAAATTATAATAAATATTTCAACACAAAGTAGACTAATAAACATCGAAAATGTGAAAATGAAATCTGAAGTTTAAAAGTCTTATCGATAACGGCTTATCATTATGGATTTGCCATTTTCAGTTGTTTATAATATATATATATATATATATAAATAAATAAATATATATATAATACAAGTAAGATTCATCTAGACATACACGCCTGATACCATTGCATACAAACACAGGTGTGTGGTGAGCAAAAAAATGGTCGTTAAGATATTTTTAGGACTTTTTTTGAGACCTCTTAAACTCTGAGGCCCATGTTGAACAAACTAACTGACCCACTCTTCAAAGTTTTGTGTAGGAAAAATGTATTTGTCTTTTTCAAAAATATTGTATTTTAAATAACCGGTAATAAGCTGTCATGTCATCATTTATATTCATTTTATGTGAGTGTGTGTGTATGTGTGTGTGTGTTGTGTGTTTGTGTGTGTGTGGTGTGTGTGTGATATATGATATAAATTTATCAATCATGAAATCACCAATTAATACTGCATGACAATGTTTCCAGTATGAACAATCAACAATATAAACTGATATGATGATAAACAAATGAACACATTTAAAAGATAAAATGAAATTTTGAAAAATAAATTAAAAAAAATTGAAAAAACTGTAGTAAAATAAAGTTGAACAGAAAGTTGAAAATTTCAAGATGAATTTCAAGCCATGTTTAATCAGACGGATGCACATAAAGACAGGAGATTACAACAAACACACAACACCACACACACACACACACACACACACACACACCACACACACACACACACACACACACATACACACACATTCATCTGACAGCCATTCATACACAAACTGCTGATGGGATGGGATATTTATTATTTTTTTTTGAAATAAATATTGATATATGAAATAAAATAAAAATATTTATGTGAAAATTCAACCATCATAATGTTTTTAAAATACTTATCCTACTTTAAATATGTAGATATTTAGATACATGGTGAACGGTAGAATGTTGACGAAAAGCGTAAACATTATCAGAAATATCGACAGCGATAGCCAATGAAGATTAAATCATTGAAACATGCGGCTGAAATTGTTTCTACAAATTTTACATTAAATAACCAATAAATAATTAAATCTGTTAACAAATTTAATAATTGATTGTAACGTTTGATAGTTTGCAATTTTTCGCGAGTTCAACCAACAGTTAAAAGTATTTTCATTTAAATTGGGCGTTTACAAGTATCTGAAAAATATGTTAAAACATGCAATCAATTTTTTCATATATATTTATAAAGTCAGATTGTTGAAAATTACATCAAATGTTCATAGAAATTATTCTGTTTACTACATCTTCGAATTGTTGGTGACTAGACAGCTTGTTGTTCTCTGATAGCACAGCAGAGCATTATTGAGAAGAGCAGTCCCATCAGCTGACGATCAATTGATTTTTAAATTTCATCCGCCCACCTAACAATTTCGATTCTTATATGTTATAGAATTGAAAACTTTAACCAAATGTTATTTGCTAGATTAAAAAATTTAAGGATTCAAAATACTTTTATTTCATAACTATTTTGAAAATTTAAAAAAATTCGCTAGGCATAAATTTGAATTAAAATAATTAGCCATAGTTTGTGAACGACTGTGTGTAAGTACAAATGTGGCAATACGGAGTGCCAATAAAATTTTTTGCAATAAGCCTAAGTTAGAAGAAGAGACGAAATTATATAAATTTGTTTAAAAACATAGACTCTTTTGTAGAATGCGAGAAGATAGATCAATTATATCTGTAGTAATGAAGAAAACATTTGAAGATCTGCCATAGAAATTGGCAAATGACATTAAATAATAATAAAAGCAGTGGCAATAATCTTATATTGTAGAATTCTTTCTCTTTGAAAACTCTCTCTTGAATACCTCAGAAGTGTCAATAAGAACAACCTCACAGAGCGTTTAAATGCGTTCGAATCTCACTCGAAACCAGTTCCTGCAACAATTGTGCATCTGATCTGAGCGTCCTGAACATCTGAGCCATTTAAACTTTTTTGAAAAGACAAACATTTTTGATTTCTTATGCTAAAATAGTTTTATTACATCACCAATGTTATTAACTGATTGAAATTTTTTCCAACCCTCGTTGAATAGAAGCAGCAGTAGCAGCATAAGAATTGAAACTAACCAAGACGAACGAGACGCCAATGAGTATGCCACCGATCAACTTGTCGTTGTCCTTCGCAGCAGCAATAATGGTTTGAACGCACGGCTGATAGACGAATATTTCAATTTAAAAAAATTAAGATTATACCTATTCAATAAAAAATCATCAATATTTTAAATGAGCGGAGAACAAAAAAATAAATTTTAAAACAATTTTTAAACGTTTAAAAAGTGTGAATAATGAGTATTTTTGTCTATGGCAAGGAACATTTTTTTTATGTTTTTCATCCGATGCACTTTTCTTATGCGTTAGATATCTGCATTTTTTGCTATTTGTTTCTACGGAATGAGCGAACTTAAGAGCTGCAATCGCGTTTCATTTATGTGATTCATCATCAACGTTGCACATACATTCGATACGTTGTATCATCTAACTAAGCAGCCTGAAAATTATAAAAACCATTTTATAAATTTAAATTGAATAAACATATACACGTTTTTGGCTAAATAACACTTCAGCTGGAAAGTTAAACAAAAATAATTTTTTATTAATTTATTTTATTTCACATTTTTACGACCTCTTAATAGAGTATCAGGTTGCCGATGCTTCAAACATTTGCAAATTTATAATTATGAAACAAATTCCAGTAAAAATTTTCATAAGCAAGCAGACCTTTGAGTAGTTGGAGATATCGCATGCATTTTGAGCACCTCCGTAGTCAGCAGCGCCACCGTCGGAGCCACAGCACTTGAACTGACAAACGGGTATATTGAGAAATAAAAACCAACAAAATCTGACTGACGTGATGCTACAACATGTATTGATCTTGGTGATATGCGGTGTCAGTAATGTGTCGTTTAATAGGGCCACCAAAGACCCCAGATCTACATACACACCACAACTCACAAACCATCAAATGATAAGAAAGTTTTTATAAATAAACACGTTTAAATGATTACACATTATATATATTGTTACATTGGGAAATGACATTAGTGAATATCCAAAATTTTAAATTATTGAAAAAAGTTACAAAATTGAAACATTTTTATATTATACACGTTATATTAGCGCACAACGAACTATTTGATTAAACAATAGCTCACCGTGTCTTGCAGTGATTTCATGAAAGCGCCAGCGTTTGTATCACCAGATTTTTCTAATTCAATTTGTTTGCTGATCGTCTTTGTTAAAAGTTCTTTTGGCTGAAATAAAATGTTAACACAATATAAAAACGTGTTTGTTGTAGAGTAACAGTATTTAATGAAATACAGTGTTCAAATCGCAAAACCACACAACACCAAGACATATTTATTTTGACCTGCAAAATCAACAAACAGCAGGAGTAATAACGTTTACAAGCAATCTCCATCTCAATGAACTCTGGTGTAGGCCTGATGTGAAGGAAAGAAAACAAAATGATGGCAATAAATAGCCTCTTTCGCATGTTGCCCATCATCGCCCGTCCAGGTTCTAGGCAATGTTATTGTATTGGTGTGCAGGCCAAAGACGTAATGGAGTGATGCTACGGTGCAATGTTTAATGCTGTGTACGGCAGTTCGGCATACACACAATTACTTGATTGCTAACCGATGACATAGTCATTTTACTCAGATAAACATTTACTGATGTCAATGCTATAACGTGGAATTAATTTCTATGTATAACCATCTCTGTCGAGGCACACAAATCATAACTCTAAACATTTAAGATTGGACGTACGAAGATAAAACCACTGTAGAATTATTTACTTCTTTATTTTATCTTCTTATTAATGCTTCAACTGACAAAAATTACATGTTTTCAAGTATGAGTAATAAATCAATCCCATCATTTTCAACAGCCCCAACAACAACAAATTGATAAAACAAACGAAGATATCATTAACCCACTTTTCCTTCGGAGGTAAACGCGAAAACACCAACGCCGATGATGACCGAGAATATGATTAGCAGGCAGATGAAGAACTGTTCAATAACCAACATTACCATATTAGTGTAATGTATTTATTTAACCTCCATTTCATCATAATTTTATCAATCAGCCTGAATTTATAAACAACAAATTTTTTCACGAAAATACAAAAAATTATTCAAATAAAAATTAAATAAATAGTAAAAAGTTATAAATAAAATGTGTGACCAGCCCAAGAAGACACTGACTCTCCCTGCAAGCACCACAACACCCAAGGAACCCAATGGTGATTATGAGGATGCTGATGACGATGAGGATGATGTAGATGTAATCACTCGCCAGCGTCACATGCATTCTTGCCACAACTTCATTCAACTTGCTACTCTTCAGTTCTCTGACTGCATCGTCCAGTGACTTCGAGTTCACCTTTATCCAGATTCCAACGGAGAGCAGTGCAATTCCTATTAACTGACAAAATAATTTTATTAGTTAATGTAGTTAGTTAATTTAATTAATTAATTTTTATTAGTTTAGTTTATTTTATTAATTAATCGATTATTTAAATATTTTGATCATTCATGGGCACATGTTGAAAATTTTTGTTTTTATATCTTCAATTTGTTGTTTGCGCAAATACATTGCTATTTTTTTTTAATTTTTTTTTAAGTTTAATTTCCATAGCTTTTTTGTTGACATGTTTGTAACTCGTTCACATTTACACTTCACTTAAACTTCATCAATTACCATTCAATTTTTTCCGATTTACTTTCAACAGGATAGACGCCATTTTTCAAAGTGCCTTGAAATGAAATTCTATGTATACATACCATTCAATATTGTGTGAAAATTAATATATCCTACTTAATGTTCTACCGTTGAAGAGGACAACGGACATTTAAAATGAAAAAAATTTTCAATTGCGGATTTCGTTTTGCTCTACAGAACATCAATGAACGCATAGTTTGATTGTAAATTATGCTTTTTAATAAGTTTTTAGAAACGTGGAATGCATATTTGTCTGACATTTGCTGTTTATAATCCACCAAAATCAATGTCAGTTAAAGAACATATCAACATTAATTATGTATATTTTAACAAATCAACATCAATTATTACCGATAAAGCCGAAAATTGTGTTTATATAAAAGGCGTTATCAGTTAAACTCATCGTAAACATCACCCAGATTATAGAGGGGTGTCGAATTAAAATTTTGAAATGATGAAAAATAATATTAGATATTTAAAAATTCTATTCAAGTTTTCACGAATCCAACATTCCAATCATTGTATTTGTTGAGGAGTGTGTGACCTTTTTTATTATTTTTTATTGTATGCCGTCGGTTAGAAAAACCTTAACCAGGATATTGGTTAACAAAATGTAATCGCGTTTGAGAGAAAGTTATTTGTTAGGAAAAACTGAAAACAAAAGGTGAAAATTAGTCTGTAAAAAACCAATTTAAAAAAAAAGCTGTGAATTAAAAAGTCGAAGTAAAAAATAGAAATTTTTGGAAAAACTTGAAGATATTAACATGATAAAAAATAATTTTGAAAAGTGGCACCATAAATTTCAACGTTACTTCAGAGATTTAAAGGTATCAATTTTGTCGGTTGATTTGATTGCGTATACAATTCACTCAACGGCCTTCTGAAAATAATCTAAGTTTTGGCATTTGTCGACTAGCTACTTTATAATAAGTTAAATTTTTATTAGGATGAGAAAAATAAAAAAAATTGTATCACTATTCAACAACAAATGCAACACACATAGTTACAGGATTGATTAAATGAATAAATTTTGCTAATTATTATGTTAAATTTGATTAATATCGCGGAATTATTATGTTTGAAAAATTGAATATGAAACTTTCACCTATATCTGAATAATAGAAGCGCTTGTTTTAAAAACCGCTTTCTGATAATGTAATTTAGTAGCACAACCATTTTGGATCTACACTGTAGTTAAATGATAACGTTTGAAAAGTTGTTTAATAGTTCATTAACTTACTTTTTCATTTTTATAATTAAAATAACTTTCCAAACAAATGATATCAATGTTTCTTTAAAATCAATTATTAAAAAAACGTCATCGCTCGCAACAATACAACATTTTTTTGGTAAGTCTCGCTGACAACCATCACGTTCAGCAAAAGTAACATTCAGAAGCCGATGGTTGACATCATAAATGAATTTCTAACAGATGCCAGTTTGTTTTCTTGCACGTTAATGTTTGAAATTTTTAGCGCCTAAGCTAATGAAATCTCACAGAAAATCTTTTCAATTTCTGTCGTGCAGGTTAATTTAATTGGGTTGAAGTCTAAAAAAAAGCGTTGGTTGCGAGGTTAAAAAAATTAAAAATGATCAACGAAAAATCTAATTAATAATAATTAACATGTAACGCGCTAGATTATTTTAAAAAAAATTATTTTTTTCAATATTTTTTTCCATAGCATTGAAATTGAATAAATTTTAAATAAATTACAACAAATTACTTGGAACCTACCCAAAATATGAAGTTGAAGGCAAACAAGAGGTACTTGATGCACGAGTAACATCCTTTCAGTGCCATTTTTTATTGTCTTTATTTTCTATACACTACACTTTGTGGCTAGTCAGTTTAAAAATTACTTCTTATGCTAAAAACACCAAATAGTTTGTTTATATAACTTTAAAAATAACTATTTTTATTTATTACCAAAAAAATCTATTAGATTTTAAAGACTATTTAATCGAAAAATCAATTAAATTGATAAAATTTTCAACACCGAGTATGTTATCAACATTGAAAACGAAGTGGCATGGTTGTGAAAACATTTGAATTTAAACTTCTTGTTCATGTTCGTCCTTACCATCCTCATCATCCTCATCAGCATCATCATTATCATCATCACTACCATTACCACCATCTTCATCATCTTCATCTTTCCTGTTATCAACCATATTTTCTAGTCATTCACTCACCCGTTCTTATATATCGTCGATATGCATCATGCAGGTATATTATACATACATGTATATATACCTGATGCATGTGTGTGTGTGTGTGTGTGTATGTTTCAAATTATATTATACATATATATATATATATATAGCAGAAAAAGAGAGAGAGAGAGAAAAAGAGAGATAGAAAGATGTGGTGACTTGGGACGTGACAGATATACATACTCGTACACAGTAGTCGAGGCATCAAACACACAAGGCGTATGATAGGAACATAGGTGACTAACGTTATAGGTCCAAAACTAAATTAATTAAATATAAATGAAAAATTGAGAAAATATAATTGAATTTTTGTATATATTTATTTTAGTTTTCACACGTTTAATAAGAGAGAAAACGAAAAGAGAGAGCGAATAATAAAGGGGGAGGATAGAGTATTTTGAATGTAATATACATTACATATGCAACCAGTGTGTGTGAAAATTTCGCAAATTATGAGCGTTTGCTTTTAACTAAGTTTTAACAAACATTAAAAGTTACAAATATACTTATGATATTGTTATGGAACAAAATCACAATTTTTTTCCAATTGAACAGCTTTCTTGCTAAATAACGAGACTTGTAAAAATAATAAAAGGTAATCGTTATAGATACTTTTCAAATACGTATTTTACAAGCATACGCAAAAGAAGGTACGCACATGTTCCTCCTCTCTTCTGTATAATGATGAATGTAGCCGCATCGATCCAACACAAGGGAGTCGAATTTTTTAATGTTAACGAATTCATAACAGTTTCATAACATAACAATAACAGTTTTATTCATCCTCAATAAAACTTCATTAACGTTATTTTTCTTGAGACTGAAAATTTTTTCAATATGAACGAACGCTGTTTAGCAAACTTACTTATAAAAAGTGTATCACAATTGAAATATTTAAAATATTTAAGAAATGTAAGAATAAAATTGTTAATTCAACCAAAAAAAATTTGAACAAATACAATCAAAAAAAATTTTTTTTTGACTCTTTAATAAAACCCGGTATAATCTTTCACAGCCTAAAATCATCCTCATCATCATCATCCATCATCATCCTCATCATCATCATTATCATCATCATCATTTCATCATCATCCCCATTATGTATGTTTTCCTTCGCATCATTATCATCCTTGCTGTCATTGTCTCATCATCAACACACCATCAATTTTAATATCATCATAATTATCATCTTTATCGCTTCACCTCTTTCATCACATTCCTATTCATACTTTTGACACCATCATCATCTTTATTGTTATTAATGGTTTCCACATTGTAACCATATTTTTCATCAAAATAACCACGAGGGCTATTGTTATAACCACCATTCCTATTTTCATTTTCAGCGTACTATCCACTTTCGCATCATCATCATCATCATTTTCATTTTCGTCTTTTTTCTCGTTATCATCATTTTCATCCTCCTCCTCCTTAATAGTTAATCATTGACCTCATCATCCTATCTTAGTCATCAAACCATCGTAATGATCATCACCGTCATCATCATCTTCATCACCATAGTCATCTCCATCTTCATCATCGTCTTTATCATCTTCTTCATCATTGCCGTCATCATCTTCATCCTCATCAACTTCATCTTCATCATCGCCACCCTCATTCTGGATTACATGTTTGCTCAACGACAGACACACGGCACAGCAAATCAACTAAGATAACAACTTTGCAGAGAATTAACATTAACATCAGGCATGCAGTCAAAACAATGCTCATCATTAATTCTCTCTCTCTCTCTCTCTCTCTCACTCTCTCTCTCTCTCTCTCTCTCTCTTTCTCTCTCTCTCTCTCTCTCTCTCTCTCTATCTTTGCTTTTAATGAAATGATTGCAAGCGAGACACTCTTTCCATTGGCCATTTTCAACATCGCTACATAATCAATCACAATCCAGGTTAATACCGATACTAACTGATAGTCTTCGTGATGTTATTTGGTCGTTGCAAGCAGATTTTAATATGGTTTTCTGCATTGTTCATTTTATTCTAAAAAAATTAACATAAACTCTTATTTTGTTATCCACCAATATAGAGAGCTAAACAACGACACACTTGCTCTAAAACGTATACGCTACTGAAAAAACTAATTTAAGATTTTTAATTGTTTGATTGGTCATCACCTTGAATGAAGTGCATAGGTTGCGAAAATATTGACAAGCCCTTCTAAGTTTAAAAAATTGAATGTTTTTATAGCTCTAGATTTTAGTTTTCAAACAAATCTTTCTAATGTTGCTGAAAAAAGCAATCAAAGAGAACTCATATATTTTTTGATTTGAGAGTCTGAATGAAGCTAATTTTTTGATTTTATGAACAAATTACACACTGAATATTGAAAGTTTTTCCACGTCTCATGATTTATCGTAACTCGTGCTAATTTTTATTAATCTGGAGTAGACCAAACTGCTGTAAAAAAATCATATGGAAATTGAGACTGAAATAAAATTTGTATAATAAATACATAATGTATTGGTTATTAAATCATGTAAAACAAAATAATAGCAATTTTCGAAATGAAAATATCTTTTATTAACGAGAAAAACAACACTAAATAATCACAAATATAATCATTTGAAAATAAACAGAAAATGAATTATGTATCAATCAGAAGTGATAAACTCATTAAGCCTAATTTTATAACATCTAACAAACTCTGAAAAACAAAAATTTGACAAAAATGTCACCAAACGCTAAGCACCATTAACTTATATTATAGATAATATAAGTCGCGTTGTTAAGTATTACCATTTGAAATATCGATTGAAAGAATTAACGCATTTTCTTTAAAGCCTGTTGATTAGAATAACTTATCGCTTAAAAGTGTTAAAAATTCCTTAAAATATACAACAATTATTATTTTTTCAAATTGTTAATGTCTCAATTTAAATGGTAATGTTTCAGATTTCAACAACAATTACTACAAAATAACACAACTTTCCGTGTTCAACGAAAAATATATATATGTATGTATAATTTTGACGGGTTATATATTTAGACTTAATTCATTAAATACAAATATTTTAAGTAGTTAAATGCGATGTTATACTAATCTTTACGCAAATACACATATGCAATAAAAGGCAGACTCTCACATTGAACTAAGGCACATGAACTTAAGAATAACGTGAATGTCAATAAATTAAAATAAATAATGAAACCATCCTTTACATTTAATAATTCTCATTTTGAAGAAAATGCGATCAAAAAATGTAATAAGGGAAAATAAATAAACGAAATATTTGCTACAAAACTTGGTCAAACATAGTGCATAAATTAACATTGGTTTACAATTGAAGAGTATTTTGAGACAAAAAAAAAATTGGCTGAAGTTAGTAAGGAATGTGGACTTATATCATGAAAATGTTCGAACTGAAGCCGATAATGAAAATATTGTTTAATCAAATTGAAATAAATAAAATAAAAATATTAAGTCGTCAATCTAAATATCAATTTTTTCGGTAAATTTTCATTTTCTGGAACTCTCGAGAAGTTCCCGTTGTTTGCCCGGCACCACCTGCCGAAATTGAAAATAAAGCATCGTTTCATTTTAATCAAACTCAGAAGTTATGTTTCATTTTCATCAAATTCGGAAGTTGAACTAACTTCTGAATTTCTAACTTCTAACTAACCCTATCTAAAATCATTTAACAAATTTATAACATTGCGATATATATTTATTTTCTTGTTTAGTTACGGCAATCAAGAATAATTTAATTGCAAATTGTTAGAATAAAACGGCGAGTTAAAAAAATTGTTAAACCAAAAAAGTCTAGCAACTACACAATTTTTGTCATTGAACTTGTAGTTTGTTGTTGCTATTTAAATGGAAATAAATACAGACTGAACAAAATTAAACTAAGTTTAGCAAAACAAATATCAATAAACAAATATAGGGTAACGTGGGGCAAAACGCCGCATGGGGTAAAAAGCCTAAATTCAGTTTGCACGAAATTTGTTTAAGACCGAAAGTTTTTCAATTAATTTTTAAAAATTAGAACGTACCCTTATTATTTTAAATATAAAACCACGCCGTTTTTCCACTTGTTTTTTCTGTTTCAGAGTTTTGTATAATTTGCGAGTGAAAAATTGGTCGTGTTATAAATTTTGTGTTCGGGTTTTTAATTAATTTCTTGATAATAAGATTGTTATTTGTGAAGAAAAGAGGTTTTTTATGAAGAAAAATCATTTTCACATATACAAAAGTAACTTCTAATCGGTTGGAACAATTTTTTTGTATTTTTAAATTAAATTTATTCTTAACATTGTCTATGGGGGTAAAACGCCTCTGTAATTTAGGGGCAAGAGGCCCAATTTACATTTATTGAACTATTTAACAAATTTCAGATATTTGTATGTAGGCAGCTATCCTTGTAGTTAATTGTTAAAATGTATTGAAATTTATGTTTTATGTGTAAATTAATTTCATGTATTTTAATTTTTAAAGGTATAAAATGGTCAGAAATTATATAAGAAAATCTACACGATGCTCAACTTAGGATGGTGAAAGTTAGAAAAAAGCCTTGGCCAGTTATTTAGTAAAGTTATCAGAGAATATGGAGTTCCTGCAAAAACTTTAAGAAGACATCAAAAAGCCGTGACAACATCTCCGGGAACTATAAAGCTTAGTCGGTTGTCAAGCGATCTAAAGATTTGACTCCTTGTGGGACATGTTCACAAATTTTTTGTAATGATTTCACAGGATTTCAATGAATAAAATGCTAAAAATGTAACATTTGGCATCATAATTCCTGTATAGGGCTGGAAGAAGACTATCGTAGAACTTTTATTTGTATCAATTCGGACAATAATTAACAATAAAAATAAAATTTTTATTTTCTTTTTATCCAATTTTTATTTTATGTACAATAAAACTGTTCACATTTTTTTACATGTTCAGATTTGAAACTATTTTTAAGCTTATTTTAATAGTTTTTCTACACAGGCCTTTTGCCCCATGCATGGGGCAAAAAGCCCATTTTATAGAGGTCTACGGTTTCTATTATAAAACATAGGAAACCTATGTTTGAACAATTTAATTTGTAAAATTAGATAAAGGACATATTAATCTAGTAAAATAATCACTAATGTTCTAGAAATATTCCATTTTTTAGATGTAGTCACTCATCAAAGGCTTAACTATGGCTTCTTGCCCCACCCTACCCTAAACAATCAGAAAAATTAAAAAACCATGCTTCATTAGCCACTAACCGTAAGGATCGACCCATTTTTTCGAAAGTCATTTTAGAATTGTTTTTAATTTGCCCCCAGAGTTCAGCAACAAATTTTGATTTTCCTGAAATGATCCTGAAGATACCCTGCTCCTTGTTTTCCCACCGCACACAACTGGGATTGTACTGCGGATTGTTCAGCAGATCTCTCATGAAGTTGGAGAGAAGGATTTCTAAAAAAAAAATATTTACATTTTAGTTAAAAATGAAACGTATATAAGTTTTTATTACTTATTTTTATTATTTTAGCTGTTGTTATCAAAACTTTTATGAATACGTCTTGACGAAAGCAAATATCAAGGTTACTTTCAAGTGTTTATTAATTTTAACGCGCAAACGTGCTATCAACTTATACTATTCAGTTTAGAGAGACATAACTTGCCTGCTGTGCTACGTACAGTCTGTGTGTAGGCATTTGTGTGTTTAGCTAGATGTCCTTCACAACAATCTCAAACAGCAAGTAAACCATATCTGACCCGAGACACGTATCGAATGTATTTCTTTTTTACATTTGAGACTTTTTTTTGGTGTTATATAATGTGCCTCTTTTTCATTCACTCGAGTTAAAAAATCCAGTTTGAGTCTGAGTACATTCACAAACGGGATGGTTTTCGATTGTTTATTGCAGTGGTCGATGCATCGAGTTTTCATAAAACCAAACAGTTAAATTTAATAAAAATGAAGATTATGCGGTTTTAGAGCTTCTGTGTTCATCAATAAGTTAATGGGCTTATTAAATTCAAACTGCGTACGCGTGTAAGGTAGTTGTAGACTACATGTGTGTTGGCTTAGTTGGGTTAACAAATTATTATATCCACGTAAAAACCTACCAACATGCATCCCTTTAAACTTTTATCGAGTGCAGCATTGTTTAAAGTTAATACCTGACTGTGGTGTTTGACTGTTTGCCTTTTATTGAATATAAATACATTCCGTGTGTTTTTGAATGTGTGAATTTTTGTATTTTTATACGTATACCTTATTTATTTTGTTTGTTTGTACGTAGAATGAATTTATTGACTGCTTAAGTGTTCAAGCATCTACACATTCACCAACCAGGAAGTAAAAACTCAGCGAGTTAATTACTGTATATATATATTAATGAATTATTCAACAAATTATTTATCAGCTTAAGCATGTTAGTTGGTTTAATATGGATATATGCATGTACTTGTACATAAGTACATATTTTTGAATGTGTGAATGCACGTATGCGCGTATGAATGAATGAATTAATAAATTTGTGTGAATGTTTGTATGTGTAGCTCAGATGAGTATTTGTTGAGGCAGGTGTGAAAAAAGCTCAATGATGTTTGGTTTGATTGGAAGATAGATACTGTGTAGGGTTGATTTGGTGGAAATGACTGTATAACCTTGCCAATATCTGTGGAGTTTTCTGAGCTGAGAACACCTTTTCAAGGTTCGTTGACGAACATTTAAATATAAAAGATTAGAATTAGAAGCGTTTGAAAAAGAATGTTAGAGAAAATAGTTTGGAATCGAATGAAAACGAAAGATAAGAAACAAAATCTTTATAAAGCAACTTGGAAAATAAAAAATATGATGAACGAAAAGGAAAAGTACGAAAATTAAGGCTCTTTGGACATAATTGCAAAATTTCTGGTATAAATTAATTAAATCTGTTTAGTAAGAAACAAGAGAAACTAGGAGAGAAATGTTGGAAAACCTGCAACAAAACGGAGAAATAATTTTAAAGAATGAACTTGGTGGTGTTATTGAAATCAAAAAAATTGGCCAGAGGATTGGTGAAATTTACAAAAATTAAACGTCATCGACCTCAACTGTTCTTCAAAAGATCAGAAAAGTTCCTTTATCACGAACAGAACGATAGGATCGTGAACAGGATGGTAGCAGCAAAAATATCAACCGTTATATGAACCAACACAACGATTCAACCAATTAATTAATTACTTCAAGTATAAGTTGAACAAATAAACAATTAGTTAATGTTTCGTTTTTATAACCTGCAAAAGCCTACTGACAATTCACTTAAATGGTAGAGAAATAATTAATTTTAACGGGCAGTAAACATTAAGCTGATGTTCATGAATCTAAAACCACTTGAACATCTTAATTTGAGGTCTTTATTCAGTACGGGAATCACAAATTTGCTCAGTTGAAAAAGATAAGCTGATGTAAACCATGCAACAGAATGAAACAATTTATACTTACGTAAAATAAATTGGCATGAAAAAATTTAATTATGAGCACGTTAAAAATAATTTAGTAAAAATGAATTTTAGGAAACATAAAAATAGTTTAACTTTTGAAAATGAGCGGAAAATTATCATTTCAAGCATGTAAGACAAAAATAATCATAAGTACATGATTAATAATTAACGACATTAAAAACAAACTTGAAGTATGTTTCTTCTTCACACTCTTTTGTTCAGCTTGGTCATCATCCGAAATTATTTTGTTGGCCTTTGCTTTGGAAACTTTTGAAGATATACTGGTTACAACGCTGCTGTCTGCATCATCAATAAAATAATTTTTATTGGCGCTGTCATGAATGATGTAAGGGGTAAGTAAGTTTGTTTGTAATAAACATTAAAATTTTATGTTTACCGTTTTCATTGTGACAATTGTTAGCTGTAATTTTTTCTTTGTCCTCATCGCAGTCATCTTCTCTTTTCCGTTTTTTTGTGGTGACAGGGCACACTTTTAATTTGTTAAGACTTTTTACCTTAAAATGTTTTGCTTGAGCATCTTCTTTGAGGTTAATATTTGGCTGAATTGGTTGAAAGTTCTTCGTTTTCGTTTGGTCGAAAGGATCATCTTCTTCATCACTGGAGTCCAACAAGTTTGATTCCATGACTGTCGATGGGATGAGTGCAACTTTCACCTCTTCAACTTCTTTAACCTTTTTCATCTTTTCAGTTTCTTTGACTTCATTTGAAGCGAGGAGTTTTTTAATTGTTTTCGTTTCAACAATCCTACAAGGATCGCATTGAGTTGTCGGAAGAAACAGTTGTGGATTTTGTTGTCTTTCTTTGTGGAGGTTATGTTGTTGTAGTTGTTGTTGCTGTGTTTGTTGTTGTATCTGCAACTGTAGTTGCTGAAGTTGTTGTTGTTGCTGCAACAACGCTTGTTGTATAACATATTGGTACAGATTGTTTTTGAAAGAAAATGGAAATTGTCGTTGATGTTGGGCCAATGAAAAATTGTAGCCAATTGGCGCTATTAATGATGGAAAGACAAGTTGTGCAGCCGGTCTGCAAGAAGAAGAAGCAGTCAACTCTGTCAACGGTACTGATGTTTTGTCTGTTGCTGCAACAGAATAAACAGTTGTTTCAGGATATATTTGATTGAGAATTAACAGAGTAAAATCACTTAACTTCGAATATTTCAAATAAATCCCTGACTGTAAAAAAATAATGATGAAAATACAAAAATTGAAATAATACTTTTGAGCTTGTTCAAACAAACTGGCTGTTCATTGGATAACACTTGAGATTCTTGTTTTATTGGCTGGAGAACGTTTGGCGCTATATTAAGCGGAGGTTGTTGATGTTGTTGTTGTGGTCGATATTTTTGAAAATTGAATGGAGTGTTTATGAAAACTGGATGAGAAACAGCTTGATTTGGGCTAGCATAAGAATTCGGGAGCAGTCCTGTGAATGGTGGTGTCAAATATTTGCTTACGTTTTGTTGAGGCCTATGAGATCGTTCGTTCGCGAAACACTGTTGGGTTGGTTGCGGATTTGACGGCAACTGTTGGTTAGATGCTTGTGATTGTAACTCGGTTTTCGATGTATGTTGTGTTGTTTGTTGTTGTGACGTATGTAGAAGGTCTGATTGTTGTTGTGTGAAATGTTGTTGCGATGATCGTGGTGTTTCTTCTAAAAACTCTCGCTGCAGTACCTTTCCACGTGGATTTTGTTGTGTTGTTGTTTCCGGTTGCAGTATTTGTTGTTTTGTTGCTTGTTGTTCTGTGAATGTTAATGAATGGAGAATAGATTTTGTGTTACTATCTCCAAGTACATCATTGCTGCTCTTGTTCGTGTAATCTGCACATAGAAACGTTGAAAATTTAATGAATAGAACTTCACAAAGTTAAACAAGTATGACAACATGAACAAATTCACATTCACAAGAACAACATTATCAACGAAAAAAATTATCCACTCAATAAAAAAATTATCAATATGACTACAGATAAATTTATGAGCAACATTAAAAAGGGAAAAATCATCACAAACTATTATAAAGCAGCCTGAATGAGTCGTACAGCTTCTCCCCAAAATTGCTATCTTTTGATTTGAAATCTTCACTCGTCATTTTGCAGAACTCTTTTCCAGTCATTCCTTGAAAATTTTCCCCTCTCAGTGAAGGTAGTTGAATGTTTTTCAAACCCGCAGTGAAATAAATCCAATCCAGGATGTCACTGTTATTCCAATCTTCCGGATGCTTCGATTGCCAGGTATCCATCATGTTAAAAACTGTTTGAATAATGTATTGGTAATACAAAATGTGATCATTTTGTCGTTGTTGCTCCATGCTCAGTTGTCTTAGTTCTTTATGAATTTTTAGATTGTAGCAACGTTAATATTTTTTTATTTTTATGATCAAAAAATGTTTTTCTAAACTAAACTCGATATATGTTACATTATGAAAAACTTTTAATTACGTATTCTATTTGTTACTCGATACGATTACAATTTATTTAAGAAGCGTGTTCGATACATATCGTTTAATGTTACGGCGAGACTTGATGAAAGAACTTCAATTATAGGTGGCAGATGCGGAAGTAACTTCTTACAAGGAAGTACAAAATTTTGCTTGCTTCTTTCTTCAAGTGTGTGTGCATGTTTTGGCAGATATGTGGGAGTTTGTTTGTGTTCAAGTGTTTGGCTGTGAATGTGTGTCGCTGTTCTGTGCTTCGAGATGAATTGCTTAAGAATGCTGAACAAGTTCCATTCAAAGGTGTACTTATGAATGAAGTTTTAATTTTATGTACGTATATTTTCTTTATAATTGTGTTTGTCTGCTGACAAAGTTTTGCTCTCGCTCGTCATCAGTTTTGGAATCAACTTCCGCATTTTTTAAATTTCGTAGAGAGATGGATTTTTTGTTCTGACTAATGGCGCCATGGCGTTTTTTCAACAGACATGTTTTCTTTCTTACTAGTGCTTTTGGGTCTTGAAAGAGCGCAATATAAGCAAGCATAATAATAATTATAGTAATAATAATAATAATTATTATATAGTGTGTGGTACATGTTTGTGCGGTATGTGTTCAATTAATTTATCTATATATGTATATAAATAACAATTGCGATAGCTTGCTTGTTTAAACATAACCGAGCGTATTCTTCATTCATAAGCTTCATACAAATTAAATGCTTTCATGAGTGTGCGTCCTACGCGCCCACGTCTCTTTTCAAAAATTGAAAAAGCGACTTTTGTATGAAGAAAAATAATAACAATAAAGTTAGAAATTATAAAAGGAAATTACGGAAATTAAAATATAAAATTAAGATAAACTTAAAATTTTGAAGTTTGATAACATAATAACACGTGATTGTCATTGACATTTACTAATACACGTAAACAAACGTTGTATGTCGTTGTGATGCCACTGCGCAATTTAGGTTAAGAGTTCCTACGTTCAACGTTAAGGAGTTCCCATGTTCAATACACGTGCACGTTGGCTGACAACATTTCATAATTATCTGACTGAATCTTACTTAATTTATAAAACTTGTAGAGCATCAATTTTTCATTCAAAGTCTTATTTTTTCATCGTATAAACTTTATTATGATCGTTTGCTTTAGATGGAATGCGGCGTTTGATAACATTTTTACTGCGATTTCATTGTAAAGTGACCTGTCTTTGTTGGCTGATATTAAATATGTTAAAGTTGCGCTTTAAGTTTTTTTGCGTAGTTAGGTAAACACGTTAATATCTCCTAATGAATTTTTCAATTATTCTTGTTTACTTTAGTGTGAGTTGATTTCTAACACCAAGTCAAAAAATTTCTAAATGATATTAACGTCATTTTGTTAAAATGAAAAAAATAATGGAACAGCAACTTCAGATCACAAAACTCATTTTAGGCAATGCGGTACTGCGGCGCTCGTGCTCACTTTTGCAATGTTGGCAATATAAATTTAATTTCCAACTCACGAAGCACAAATTATCTGGTTACTCACCTTTTTTTAACACTCAATATACAATGTGCAAACTGAAAAACTAACTGAATGATTCCTACTTGCATCAATATTTCTATGCTGACAAAATGCGAATAATGACAATGATTTTATTTAATTTCACTTTCCTGAGACCTTCCAAACGAGGGCAACGCAGCTCTTTTCATAACATTTCTTGTCATCTTTATCAATAAAGATTTCATTTTGTTTATAACACGCTTTGTTATACACTATATGAGTAAAACCATCAAAATTAAGATTGAAATTATGTGAATTCCCATACTTTCATTTAACTTCCATTTCAAAATTACAAAAAACCCAAAAATGAGCCTCAAATATCTTACATCACCATTAGGCTGCATCAAAAACTCCGCAATTAAAAATGAGATAAGGATGTTTTTGTTCATTTATGAGAAGAGTATATTTCATTATCGTGCCGGGTCAATTATTTCTTTCTTGTTAGAAATATTTAACAATATTTACTAGTATTTTTACATGTGCAAACAGTTGCAATTTGTCAATTAATAATTATGAAATTAAGAATAATTATAAAAAATTCAACGACAACTATATATTTTAATGAATGTAAAAACATTAATTTGAGTAGGTGGCAAATTTGAGTGGGCAGCAAAGTTGAAGAAGGTCTCATTAAAACAAGTCTCTATACAATCCTACAGAAACTAGAAAGTATTATTTTAATGAATTCTGCTCAGTGTAAATTAGAGTTTTATATTACCGAATAGTTCTCTAAATGTTTGTCATGATACGATTGGTATCATTTTATCATTCATTCACCATTCACATATTATTAACATGGCGATATTAATAATTCATCATATTACTAACAAAGATTATTAGGCTTGGCTCCATCATTTGTATTATCACTAAAACAGTTTTTATGAAACTTTTGTTCCATTTCTTTGAACTCGGAGTAGGCTGAGCAGGGATGACTGTCAACATGTTCATCATTTTTCTTGAGGGCGTGGTCGTTAGTGATGTTCACTTGATGGTATATCCAGTGAAGCAGTTCCAGTGACCTCATGCTGTTGCTGCTAGTGTTTGAGTCATCGGAATATGGCGATGTATAACCATCTTTATTGCTAACGATGGTTTTATCGTTAGTAGGAAAATTAATGCACCGACCCACGTGAAAAGAACTGTTTGTTAGTTCGTTATTAGTGTCTGGGCAATTCACTCTATCAAAAACGTCACTCTTCACACCAACTGGAATGAAGTTTGCATTGTCAGTGTGGTTGGAACTTTTAGCCCGAGTACTATTTTCAATCCATTCTGATTTAAGCTTTTTTGAATGTTTACAACTCGGGGCATCGTATGTGTCTCGATGAATATCAAAGAAACTTTGTTGATGCCACAGGTGGTCGATGTTGTTGACGAGGGCTGGGTTGTTGCTGCTGACTGTGTTGTTATTCATCAGCCTAATTTCACCTTTCATGTTGTTCATGCTTTGCCAAGTAACGATGAAGAGCGTTGAAACACCAAAAAAGATGACAGAAAAAATCGATAAATGATTAGGTTATCACTGTACTAAAACGATTTTTCAATGAAAGTTTCTTCACGTGACTTATAATCCATTAATCCATTATTGAAAGAAAATTTTTAATTTTTCGATAGAAATACAATTTAACGCACAATTTTCCATCCTAATAAGTAAGTATAGCAAGAAGCCATTCATACTCAACTAATTTAAATTTGCTTGACAATCATCAGGCGATTATAACAATAGATTTGAATGAGAGCCTGCTGAATTTCAAGTATCGTTCAGCTTGATAATAGAAGTGTTCGGCTTGTAAATTTTTGCTAACCGTTCAGCTGGCAGTCAAAAACAAGAATGATACCTATACTTACATGTCTTTAGGACTAATAAATTTAAACGATAGAAAGTTCAACTAAACTTTACTCCAATTATTTCAATAAACATGTGCTTGCCCTCAACGCTAATTATAATACACTAATACTAATGGTTGATTCGTTCGTAATAGATTTATATTTAATTACAAACTTGATGCGTGCTCCTAAAGAAAGAAATGCGTTTCCTGTATATAATAATTAAAACATATAAATGTATACTTATACACACACACACACACACACACACACACACACACACACACACACACACACCACACACACACACACACACACACACACACACACACACACATATATATATATATATATATATATATATACATATATATCCATGCTTTTTGCTGAATAAAAATTGAATATATGGGTTCAGACTGTTGTATACACAGTATATATATATATATATATATATATATATATATATATATATATATATATCCATGCTTTTTGCTGAATAAAAATTGAATATATAGGTTCAGACTGTCGTATACACAGTCTTCCCTGCTCCACCGGTTTTTTCGTTGCCGCGATATTCTTCCCCCAGTATCCGCTCCGGGGGACCGTACGCACGTCCAAATTTTGAACGAAGAATATAAAAAAATCTTTCAAAATTTGTTGTCTTCATGCGGCGACGACTTTTCCACCGCTCGTTTGTTGGCCATGTCCAACGTTGCCAGCTGCGGGTGGTTGAGATCGTGGCCCAACACCTCTGTGGGCACCAGGCTTGACGACGAGTCTGTGAGATTTGCCATTGGCTTCAGACTTGGCCTGGTCATTCAGAATAAATACACGTGCCGATGTGGCGCAGGGGCGGACGAGTTTGGGCACCACGGTTTGGTTTGTCGCCTGGGTGGGGGCCGTCAACTACGCAACTAACCACATTTCGTGCTTGTTGCAGCGGTTCCTGCGTGTCTGTGTGCTTGAAACTGAATGCCGAAGTGTGCAATTAACGACAAATCAAAGTGTTAATCCATTTGTTACTTGATGTTTGACGGTTCAGTGTCACTCATCATGTTTTGGTTTTAACACACGTTAATAAGAGTGCTCTTAATATATATTTATATATATATTAGTATTATGGTACATATATATATATATATATATATATATATATATATATATATATAATATATATATATATGTTGGTAATAGACCATAATTTTTACAATATTCTATAAATTCTACCGAATGTTTGGCGTTAATATGTTTGTAGTTCGTTTTTTCGATTTTTCTCACTAAAGTTTTTTGGTGAAAGTTTAGTTTATTAAAATTCAAAATAAACTTATTTTTCGAATTCATGCTGCAAATAAGGCCATATTTCGATTCCGAATGAATCATCGTCAGTGCTCCTTGTTGTATATATAGGGAAATATTGACTTTGTCACGATTAGCTTTGACGTTGTAAAAATTAACTTTGGTGTTGTAAAATTGAACTTTGATGCGAATCGCATCAAAGAATTTATAGAATTTGGTAGAATTTATAGAATTCGGTAGAATTTATAGAATTCGGTAGAATTTATAGAATTCGGTAGAATTTATAGAATTCGGTAGAATTTATAGAATTCGGTAGAATTTATAGAATTCGGTAGAATTTATAGAATTTATAGAATATTATAAATATATATATATATATATATATATATATATACAATATTCTATAAATTCTAGAATTTATAGAATATTATAAAATATATATGTATATATATATATACAATATTCTATAAATTCTACCGAATGTACAATATTCTATAAATTTTACCGAATGTACAATATTCTAAAAATTCTACCGATATATTTATTTTATTTTTTTTATTTTTTTTATTTTACAAATTTTATTAACCACAAAAAAATGGCTTGGAGACCATACAAGATTATTAAGCTTTATAGGCCACCAAAAAGAAAAACAGAAACAATTTAAAAAATTATCAAGCGCATATACGATAACATAATTTGTTCGTTCAACAGTTTGACACAAAAGCATAGCACACTGCACATAAATTAAACGTTCGTAAAACAAAATGATAATGAAATGAAACTAAAATTTGATCCTTGTAGTGTTATCTAATATATATATATATGTGTGTGTGTGTGTGTGTGTATTTGTGTGCGTGTGTGTGTGTTGTTATTATTAGTGTGTAAATTTATATTGCGCCCTTACACACCAAATCTCACTCAAAGGCGTTGAAACAAATGATCACGTCAACTTGTCTCACCAGTCTCAACAAGTGAGAAATATTAATGTGATGACATAAAATTTTAGAATGCAGGGAATATTTACAGATGAAGAACTTATACATTATTTATATCGGTAGTTAAAGACATGAAACTCAAAAAGCAAACTTTTCATTTAAAATTTTATGTAAATAAAAGACAAAAAACTAGAAAACCTCAGAAAGTTGTATAAGTTATTTTATAGTTAGATTTAGCAATTGAAACTTTATTTAATATAAACTTAAAGTTAATAGGAATTGAAAAATTTAAACAGTGTATAATTTGAATACTACAAGTTGCAATGTTTCATTAAATTCACTCCTCGCTAGTGCTGTCGGCTTTCATCATATCACGGATATCCCGCAAAATTATTCACCTCACTGAATGTCAATAAAATCAAATTTCTACCCAACATAAGCTACCCATGTTGGAAAGAGACCATATTCTATACAGTATTGAACGAATTCTACCAAATTGTTGGCATTGATCAATTTAAAGTTTATCTTTTCAATTTTCCTTATTAGAATTTTCTGGAAATTGTTCAATTTACTGAAAATAGACTTATCCAAGTTCATCATGAAAATTTAATGAAACTGTTCTTATCCGAATTCATCATGAAGATAAGGCCTTATTTCGATTTTTCATAAATCATCTTCAGTGCGTGTTTGGTTTACATAATTTCTTTAAACAAAGCAAAGTTTTTCAACAAAGTTTATTGGTCGGTATCGTATTCATCTTTGTTGTTGTCATTCCTTTGTTTTTCATTGTTATTGAAGTTAGTATTAAGGCGTCGAGTTGGTAATGATGTTATCATTCGTTGTTAAATTTTTATTTGGGGTTTATTGATATTTATTAGAACAGCTTCTGCAAGTTTTAGATGTATTGTGTTGGTGTTTTAATAAATTATTTTTGTGTTGTTGTCAAGAATTTGTTGATTGCAAATAAGATTTGATGGCTCCTCTTTGCGTATGCATTGTGAGGCGTGTAACACCAATATACGAATGTTGTTGACGCGCACAGTCGTCAATAGGGCATTTAAATTCATATCTTACATGATTACGCTTTGGTCCCCTTAAAAATACCAAAAACACATCTCAAATCTCTTCTCCAAATCTGTACCACCGAAGCACCTTTCCACACTCCAACAGGCAAGCTGTACAAGCAAATTGACGGTGTCCTGTTCGCAAATTTCTTTTTAGGACATCTTGAGAGCAAAACGTTTAGAGACAATCTTAAATTGAAAACAAACATTTATGCCAGATATGTTGACGATACCTTCGTCGCAAACGATGATCCGGATTATCAAAAGGAGCTTGGCGCTGCGTGATTCTAATTGCTTGGTTTATATAATTAATCCTAGCTACCTATTCAAAAGTCTTAAATACATTGAATTTTTAATGAGTACATGTTGGTACTTTTGTCAGCAGTCAGCAGCGTTTAACAGTATCTGCAATCCAGTGGCCATAATTTATTCCTTCCTTCATTAACTTTGGTCAACCTTCATCATCATCGACTTCGTAATGAAATTTAAGTGTCTATAAAATAATATATAATCAATTTAGATTGTTATGAAATAAGTGCAAGTTCGATTACCTCTCTTTCTTGGCGGCAGCTAAATATTTAATTTTCTTTGATCAGTGTTTGTTCGTGCTGATTTAATTTCACTTAACCGAAAATTTTAAACAATTTTTTTTGGTTTTATTTTATTTGACAACATTGTTGAGCACAAAATATTAACAATTTTCAATAACCTTAGTTTCAACTTCTGATATTTACATAGTTTTTGACACGTTCTAACAAATTTTACGCCAGCAGTTTATAACGAATTATGACTCTTGTACTTGAAAGTGGAAAGTAAAATCGTTCGTTCATTTTTAATAAATTTATTATCTCAATTGATATCGTATAAGCAAAAAAAGATTTTGTAGCTAATTTTACACTATGTCATTGATTCAGTAATTTCGCGCATTTTAAACGATACTAACTTTACAGTAAGTTCGTAAGACTTCTAAATCTTATTCATCAAACAATATACAAAAAACAGTGAAAAGAAAACTTAAAAAGAAACAACGATTATTTTTCCTCTAATGCTGGCTGAGTGATCCTCAGTTCCTTCTGTTCATTCATTGCAAAGGTTCTCAGGAGAGTCATGACCGGAGTGTTGAACTCATCAGGTGTTGGTTTTGATCCTTTCAATTGTTTGAAAAAGTTTTAATGATCAATCATGATTATGGTTAAGTAGATCGATGTTTAACTCTAAACAAGTAAATTACAAAAATTTACAAAGAATTTGTTTGAATTTTTTAAATGAACTGCAAAAAATACACAAGCACACATTGATAAAAACAAAACAAAATCAACAAATTTATAAAAACCATGTAACAAGCCATGATAGAAGGTAAAATGAAATTCTTTATAAGGTGATTTGCTTGAGCGAAATTTTTAAATCAAAAAATTTTTTTCAGTTTGAGAGACATATACAGATCTTTGCAGGAGAAAAGTATAAGCACTTACTTTCTATAAAATTCTAACAATTTTTAAATTTTTACAAACATCTTGTACTAATATTTAAAAATTTTAATAGTGAAAGTAAAGATTGCTAAGATGTATTCTAATCTTTAGTTCCAATACCAATAAATCTAGCTTACTGTTTTGTAGGAGGATAGAACCATCAAATATTCTCCCCAGGATTGAAAGTTAAATATTTGGTAGATGTGATGAATTAAATATAAAATTGGGATGAGTCCCAAAAGAATGATTCAATCTAACATATAAAATAGTAGTTAGCATATTTTACAAGTCAAAATTTTTTATTATTTTTCTTAAACATTGAAAAATAGCATTGCCAAATATGTATTTTAATGACAGATTATACTAAAAAAATTTTATATCAACATATATGCAAATAAAACAAGTGTCAAAATAATAAAAAAAATGAAGCTAAATATTATCATAGTCCAATTCTTATCAGATGGCTGATGATGAAACCAACCAATAATCCAGTAATAAAGGTCCCATTCATTTCCCGGTTTGTTGATGAGTTGGTCATAATCTTTCAACTGCTCATCAGTCATTGTTGGTAAAAATTTTGATGCAAAAGTGCTGTAATCAAACATTTTTCATTGAAAAACTAATTTAAAACAAAAGAAAAATTGTAATAATAAATTTTCTTCATTTCTTCAGGAAATATTTATAAGCATTACCTTAGTAGAAGACCTATCTCCAGCGTTCCTCTTTTGCGACTTTGGTAGACAAGCCTGGCTTTTAGATCTTCTGGTTCTTCATTTTGCCTTTCTTTGTAGTTGGGAAAGTTAATGTCAACTGGTCCAGATGAATTTTGTGAGGAAGGAGTAACAGATGAGATGTGAAAGTTTCTAACAGCAGATGCACATCTAACTGGATATGAGATCTAAAATTTAAAAAAAAAGATAAAGATTATTACACTCTATAGAATATATAATAAACTTTTTTTAAAATCTGTATAGTTTTAAAATACTTTAAATTTAATTCAGTTGGATTTTTCAATTTTAATTTTTTGGTGAAATAATATATTTTATTATTTTATACATAAATACATTGACAAAAAAATTCAAGATTCAGCATTAGTTTTTTAGTCCCTTCTATTGTCTTGTTGTGACTATACTGTAATGATTACAGTGTAATCGTACTGTAGTGGGCCATTTCTTTTTATTTTTGCTACTACTAATTTATTTTTCTAATCTAGTACCTGGCATCTATCTTGAGCTTGCTTAGCTCAGACTCTCCCAGGAAAGAATATAATAAACAATAATTGCAGATATAATAAAATACAATCTTTTTTATTTGCTTCTCAAAATTAATTAAAAAAACAAATTAATAACAAGAAGACCATGATCGAGTTCACTAAGGAAAGGACCTCAGTAGTCTAGTAAGGACTAAGTCACTAAGAAGGTTAACTGTTAATCATTAACAGTTAACAACATTATCATAAGGAGCTAGCTATCTAGAACAACCACCTGAAAAACAATCAATAATTAACTCACAGTAATAAACGAAAAAAAATCCTTACTGACCGACGATGTCAACGACCTTCCAGTTCTCAATATGTTGAGCATCATTTTTTTAATTTTAATATTTTTACTTTCAAGTCGAAATTTAGGCCTAGATTAACTTTTAAAAGTTTAATTCTAGCGCTTCATTATATTATTATATTATATTTTTCATTATCCAGATTGGTTTTCGAGTTAGGCACTGAAAGGAATTTACTATCTTGGTGGATAAAATTTGTAAATGTTGTTTGAATGCGTTGTTTTATAATTGTTCATTTTCATTATCTAGATAGAACATTAAAGCGGTTATTTTGTCTACAAGATCTAATATTAAAAATGAAATTAATGTAAAATAGGACGGTGAGTGATTACGCCATTTAAAAGTTAAAGGCCTATTACAACTACAACTACACACAAATATTGCCGTAACACACACACACACACGAACACACACCCACACTCACAACTACACACACAGAATTATATACACGAAAATCGAATCGAGGATTTCGTTGCAGTAGTTGAACCGGATCAAGGCGTAATTCATCTCCACAGAGCTTTTGCCTTCTGCACTAACTAACTTTGGAATGAAATACTCCACTTATTATAATTTAAAAAAAAATATTTCAATTTGTGATGGTCAGCAAAGCAACAAATATATATTAAAAAATCACGATCAAAGTTCTTAATTCCGAAAAGTTTTATTCTTTTTAGATCTCCTGATGGGTGTTTAGATAATGATCATAAAATGAATAAATGTAATAATAATAATAATAAATGGCAGATTCTTATATTCATAAAGTTCTATGAATATTGAATGTGAGCGGATATCCTTTGTATAATGTCATTCGCAGAAAAGCAGTTGATTGCACGATATTAATCCCAGAATTCATACGCTAGATTATAACGTTATGAATTAACTTAGTGAATTATGAATTATATTTATATAAATTCATTTGTTTAGCAAATCAATAAAAATATTTTTATAAAATGTTTTTTTTAATATTTAAATAGCTTGACGTTGTCATAATATATAGGTTTATTTCATTGTTAAACTTCTTCAATCTTAAAATTCAATTTTTATTCATGACATGATTTTTTAAAATCAGAGTCGAAAGAAACGGATTGAAGCAAAGTTTTGTAATGGTAACATTACATCAGGTAAACGTGTTTAGATGAGTGGCACGGTTACATTAACGGATGAATGTCTTGATGGTGTGGAAATGAGGTGTGTGTGTGTGTGTGTGTGTGTGTGTGTGTGTGTGTGTGTGTGTGTGCGTGTGTGTATAAAGAAGAAATTAAAATTTGCAACCAAATGAATGAACTTTTTTAGGAGCCGTGAGAATTTTACGGCTTGCGAGTATTTTTCGTATGAATAAAATTTTTCCAACTTTAAAAATTATTTATTCTATGGTTTTTTTGCCTATACTGTTATATATTATTTTTTGAAAAATGCCTGTTCCGCTGAGTTCTTTTTTCTATTTAAAATATAACTTAAGGCAGATTAAAAAATTGAGTTTAAGCTTTTGCTGTTACAATGTTATTATGCGAGTCAACATTCAGTGGATTTCTGACTAGTGAATGTTTGAAGTTTAGCTATCTGTAGCTAACAAATTTGTTTGTTAGTTGAAAACAGACGTTAATATACTTAAAGGCCTGAATGAATAGTTATCCCACGTGAAATTTCATAAGAAAAGCAGGTTTTTATGATCGGTGTGATAGATATTTTTTATTGTAAGGAGGTATAAAATTCATAACTAGCAATGGAAGAACTTGCATATTTCTCCTCCAAATATCCTGTCATTTAGGCCAGGTTGGTGCAATAAAAATTTTTCAGTATGCAATATCATTGTGGCAAGAAATAAAAGTTGACTAAGTGAGCAAAGTCATGAAGTTCATTCATGACATTATGTGTGCAGTTCATATCTTCATGACATTCGTAACGTGGCAATGTAGGAACGTCATTTCATTTAAAAATCACAACATGCATATCGCTATTTTACCATACACAATACACTACTGTACATACACACATACACATATATGTACGTTCACACACACACACCACACACACACGTACATACACACATGCATATACAAATGTACGTACGTTCATACAGACAGTGCTTCCTTTGAAGGTTTTATGGGAGTTTGTTTCCAGCCTTTCAGGATTATGGATGTTGTATATATGATCAAAGTTATTCACAATATGTGAATTTCGTTTGTATATCTTAATTAATGTATCGTATTATATCTTGTTTAAAATCTAAAATTAGCAGGTTGAATGATAATTATTCTTTCTTGAAAGATTGTCAACTTTAAAATTGGCCATTGTTGCTTGTTCTCGACTATAAGACATTCGTTATTTTATCTTGCTGGCTACCCTCAGTAGATTTTAATTACAAACAATTAAATAAATGTTACAATAAAAATGCTCCAAGTTTGAAAAGTGACCTACGCCAAAATGTGGTTGAAAACTATACAAAAAATAATTATTTACACACATAACGTCCTACCTCGGGGGAACTGGGTCTCTGGACGCTAAACGAAGATTGATTGATTGATTAACATAATGTAAAAGTTTTTGTCCTTAGAAGCCTGGCTCTGACATAAATTAGCATATTTAATGTTAATAAACAATATTATTTTTTTTTTTTTATAAAAATAATGAACTTACAAAAATGTAATGTAATGAATTTATATACCATGAAAATTATTGAAATGTACTTATTACAAGCCTGCGTGTAAAGTCACAAAATGGAAAAGTTTTATAGCTGCTTCGTTGATGAATATCTGACTATTAAAGATTTTCATATATTGGCATGACAGCCAGCATGCTATTCAGGCAAACGAGGCAAAAAGTGGACCACTCCATGGAAAAAGTAACTCATCAACGTTAACATAATTGATGCCACTAGTAACAACACAGTGACAACAACAACTAACGACTCTATAACACTGGGAAATTATTTTAAAATACTTACCTTTACCTAACTTACATTACGTGAATTCATCTTACCAAAAATGTTTTGTGTTAATATAGGGTCTATCTTTAATTTGTACTTTGCAAAGAGTTGCTAAAATTAACATTAACATTAGTAGCAACAACTGTTATTTTATTTTTTTTTAAATTTCTTTCTTTAAAGTTTGTTGTTGTTACAAATAAGACATACACCGATAAAAAATATAAAGAATGAAAGTATACCATATAATGAAGTACATTTTTAAAATTGTCAATTAATTTGTCAAAATAAAAAACGCATAGAAAAACACCTTAAATATTATTTTATAACAAAAATAATGTGAATAAAACGAAACGAAACGAAACGTGCTTTGCACAAGTTTCTACACCGAAATCTAACTCATTTTGGCACGTTATTATTTTATTCGACATCACCTTTAAAATCATCCGAGTTGTCGTGTTATCATTGTAATGTCGACGTATTAATCTATTGCTTTAGCCGCGAATATAATAATTATTAACGTCAATGTGAACACCATCAAGCCTGTCATCAATTACATTATCTTTTCAAATTAATTTTAATACCATCGGGTCATTAAGTCTAATGACGTCATTTTTATCGTCATCGTCGTCATCGTCATATACTCACGACATCAGCAATGATAATCATTTTAATATTGAAGCCACATAATATTAATGATCATCGTTATCATCGGTCGTTCAAAATGATCACCATTTTTAATCATTTGAAATAAATTTTAGTCATATCGTGTCATCAGTTTTTTATTGCGTCATTCATTACCATTAGTGCCACACAGTCATTGCCACATCGTTAATAATATTAATAGAAAGGCTTGGTGGCCTAGCGGTTAAGATCGCCTGGTGCTGTTTCGTAGTCATCGGTTTCGAATGCAAGAAAAAATCCCAGTTTAGCACACGCTTCGTGCGTGATGCGCCGTTTAGCATCTACCCATATAAGGTATTTGTGTCTGTTGTTGAATAGGAAGAGTGTAATAGACCTTTTAACCTTTATAATAATAATAATAATAACAATAACAATAATAATAATAATAGGGCCAAATGTCAGATGCTAAAAAGAATTGTGAAAAAAATCTAAATAGACAAATAAATAAATGTCATTATTATTACTACAGCAGATAGGTATTACTAATAGTACAACTACTACAACTAGTAAAAATAATGATCGTTAGTATTTATGTACTTTTAACAATAACGCTACAGTAGAAATAATTGACAATATTATTGTTATAATCATTCTCATAATCTTTATCGTCGTCGTCGTCATCATCAGTCACATTA